GGGGGGGGCAAATGTGGCCCTCTTTGACATCTTGTCTGGCCCCCAGGATGATATGTGAAACGAAAAATACTTTTTTCATTTGATTTTTTTTTCAGTAATCTTTGATTATGATGTCAAAAGTGCAACAGGGAACATCCAATGAGACCAATCAAACTCTTTTTGAGGAACCTGCAACCAAGACAAGATGTTGGGTCTCTAACTTGAGTTAATGTAGATTCTGAAACTGACCCTTTGTTTGAAAAAGGTTTTAATGTTGGCCCCCTTATGGGGAAAAAAAAAGGTATAAGCCTGAATTTGCAGAAAATTACAACACAATTTTCTTTTACAATGATGTTTTCTAAATAGTATTGTAATTGCAGTGATATAACACCTTTCAAAATAAAATAAATACTCATGTGTATTTGTCATTTTTAACCATTTGTGGCATAGTGCAGATTCATCCATGTTGTAAGGTTGGATTAGTGTTAACCCAGCTTTTCACCAGAGTTGTTTTCAACTGCAGTGTGTGAACATTCTTGCTTTTGTGCTGTCTCACACCAAAATGAGTCAAACTAGTTCAAAACTGAACTAAAGGTGCATTTTTGTTCTACTAAAACTAAAAATGTGAGCTGCTGTTTCTCCCCTAACATGATTATATGAATTAAACGAGCTGCTTCTGTCTCCAAAACCAAACTGAAGGTGATCATCAGCCACGAGATCCATCATGCCGCCTGCAGTGGAATCACTAGAGAATGTCCATGTTTCTGTTCCTGTGCAGTCATACAGAAGAGCAGGGAGCCAGGCTCTTTGTTTGGTCACTCCATGGGAATGTTCTCACTCTGTTCAGCTCTCTGAGCAACAAAACTCTGATCCTATAGGCAGAAGTACAAATCGCAGATCTTCTCAGCAGTGGGATGATTCACAACCAGATCACAGTGATGATGGGAAGACCAGCTGCAATTCAAGGCTTAACGGAGTCCAACTTCATATAGAAATAAAACTGAGGGTTAATAAAATAATTAGAAAGAGAGAGAGGAGAGAAGGGCTGAGAAAATGCAAGAGAGAGAGAAGTACGAGGGTGATAAGGACTGAAAAGAGGAGCTGGATGGTAGTTTGGCAGTCTGTGTGTTCCCAGGAGGATTACTCCAACACTGGAAGTTACAGACTGCCAAGAAGACCACAGAGAAGCTCCTGAATGGTCCCACACACTTGTCTATGGACATCCTGCCTGCTGTAATCCATAGTGTCTGTTTCACCTGCGTCTTCTCTCTTTTTTTTTTTTTTTTCCAGTCCTACTGTTCTTGGCTCCACTTGTTTTAATGTTCAGTTTTTTTTTTCTTTTTGCCAACCTTCTTTTAATCACTCCCACCATGTGAGTCTGACCAGCAGTGACACGAGAGCTTTGACTTGACTAGTCACAGCATATGGCTACCTTTGTGATATTTCAGCTACTTGTGAATGAGCATTGAAGAAGAAAAAAATGCCAGTAAAGAAAACACACACCTTCTTCCTCTCTAGCCTTTTTTGCATTGTTGTATATCTCTACCTGGGCATCCTGGACCTGGATATCTGGACCAGTTACAAGTCCATCGCAGGGCCACACAGGGACAAATGAGACAATCAATCGTGTGCTCACTCCCATCCCAGTACAATTTACAGAAGGGGTGTCCAATGATTGGGGGCCACTATCCTGCCTGTTTTAAACATTTCTCTGTTCCATCTTACCTGGTTTGAACCAGTGAGTGATGCACATGGTTCTGTAGAACATGTACAGGTAATTTAGCCATTAAATCAGGTGTTATAGAGCAGAAAAACATGTCAAACACGCAGGATCGTAGCCCTTGACGACCAGGACTGGACACCCCATGACCAGCTGACCTAACATGAATGTTTTTGGTTTGTGAAAGGAAACCAGAGTACCTGGAGAAAGCCCACACATGCACAGGAAGAACATAAACTCCAGACAGGCAAACCTGCAGCCTGGTTCCTTTAAGACCATTAATCACCACTGCGCCACCATACCGACCTACTTTCATTTCCATGTTATTAAACTGTGGCTTTCATCTCCACAAATGCCCTGTATGTGTGTGTGTGTGGGGGGGGGGGAGGGCAGGTGGGTACTCCTCTCACCTACAAAACATTCATG